TGTGTTATGTTTTAGTAAGATTTTTACGGCACCTGCAACACAATAAGGTCATATAGGTGCCGAAGACTAGAGGTGTTACAAGAGAGAAACAAACACATAAAAGGACAGAGAGATCAGGACGATAGATGTTTTGTGGGAAAGAAGGAGCAAACCACACCAGAGCACCCGTCAACCAAGTTTACAAAACATTTCTGTTACTATGAGGATATGTAAAAACTTGAACTGCAAATATCTCAATATTTTGCTTCGGATTACAGCGGTGCATTCCAAAACTGAAGTGCCATTCTTTTAGTTAAATAATTTCGTATTCATAGGAAACTGGAGGTCAAATGAAATTTTGTCTTTATTTCCAACTGCAGCAAAATCCCAAATTATGAAATGTGTAGCTAGTGGAGCAAACTGCCAGGACTCGTAACATATTATCGCTACCTCAGAATTACAAAGTTTTGTCGGACATTTTTGGCCATTTTAAGTTACTGAGACCAGAGAGGGTCAAAAAGCAATAAATGTGAAACGTGCTGACAAAATGAGTTACTTCTCAGATTTTAGCCCGATGGAAATAGAAACATCAAATTTTTAGATTGAAGTTTTACAATTTATCAGTATGAAATGATAAAAGACATGTTAAACTTGAAGAGAATGGCATTGGCTAAGAGTCTACTTATATGACCCTTGTGTTGATTTTTGGCTGATATCTCCATTCACGGATTGCGAGAAGTAACTCATTTTGTTAGCACGCCTCACAAATGTTCTGTTGTATATTCGGAGTCGTCATCAAGATATTCAAAGAACTGCATTCGAACAAGCTTGACACATTGTGAAACTCAAAGATCTTCAACGTCCCACTTCTCAAAACTAGGTAGGAAGCAGATGGAAATTTATAATTCTAGGGTAGCAATTTAGCAAACGGCCAGGACTGGACATATCGCAACCTCAGTGCTTTCTTGTCGCATCTCCATGTTTTTAAACAGCGAAAATGTGACTTCTTCTTAAGCTCACTCTTTGTCATGAACTGCTTTCACCGTTATTAAAAATGGAGATACAAAAAGAAAGCACCGAGGTCGCGATATGTCGCCATCGATCAGGTACACATCTCACATGCAGTTGCGGGCGGCCAGGTCACGGTGGACAAACTTGAGACCACTGAGATAGTCCATGCCGCTGGCGATGTCCGCGCCAAACTTGATCACATCATGGAGGCTCAGGATCTGAGGAGGAGGGGGGGGGAGTTAGTTTTAGTAAGAGTTTTACGGCACTTGCAACACAATACGGTTGAATAAGCGCCGAAGATTAGATTAGATTAGTTTAAGCAAGAGTTTGTTTGTTTTAGCAGACGTTTTATGGCGCTCGCAACTGCATAAGTTCATATGAGCGCCAGAAGATTAAAGGTGTTATAAGAGAGTAACAAACATAAAAAAGAAGAAGGGGAGATAAGGACGATAGATGTTTGGTAGGAAAGAAGGAGCAAGCAAACCATACCAGAGCACCCGCCAACCACCCACTTCAAGTAAGAGTTTTACGGCACATGCAGTACAATAAAGTCAAATAAGTGCCGTAGATTAGATGTGTTACAAGAGAGTAACATACACAAAAAGAAATGAGTTAGGACCTACCAGTGGCGCCCTCCAACCATCCATCCACACAGACAAAAACAACAAAGGGAAAGAAAAGAAGAAGTAAGACCTACCGGTGACACCTTGAAACCACCCACACTGACAAAAACAACAGAGGGAAAGTAAAGAAGTAGGACTTACCAGTGGCACCCTCCAACCACCCACACAGACAGACAGAGACAACAGAGGGAAAGAAAGAGAGTAGGACTTACCAGTGGCACCCTCCAACCACCCACGCAGACAGACAAAAACATCAGAGAGAAGTATAGATGC